AGAACAAATGGGAGAATTGGATTTTATAGTTTAAGATGTTTTCTCTGATAACATTAGTGTCTTTTTTGCCCCACCCTAGAAATAATGCAAAATGGTTCCTTCCTAGGATACTTGTTAATTCAGGATAGACTTATACCCATACACCCCGCGACTACCCACCTGACAAACAATAAGCCTAGTCGGCGTTGTAACAGCAATGATAATAGCACAAGCATCTTGCCCAGTGTTTTTCAAAGAGTAGAATATCCCATTAGTGCATCCAGAAATCACCTTGGTGGGTTTCGACCAAACTAGAAACGAACACGAACAACGGCATCGCGTGTAATAATCCTAGTGTTCTGTGAATTGTGTTATGTAGGTCTGTGTGTATGTGACAGTGTGATTGAAGACCAGTGATCTGATCTACCTACTTAAGTGAGTCTAGAAGACATTAAATGATGCCCAAGGATACACAGCTCGCTCGTGACAAAGTGGGAGTGAGAATAAAGTTCTCCAGTCCCCAGGCCAGTGTCTCTTCCACCGGGGAGTTCGCCCGTGGTCAGTCTCTGGGGGAAAAACAGGAAAGAGTTAGATGAGGTGGATGCTTTTAAGGGAGTAAAAGGAGCAGCTGGACTTTGGCACAAGTAATGGAATCAGTGGCTTTGGGGTCTCCGAAGCCGAACAAATGACTTACTGAATAGTGGACCCACTGTACATTTAGGCTATTCAATCTTTTGCTTGCCATTATCTCCTCAAAATAATACCCAGGGGATGCCTACAAAGCATCTGGACTGAGCTGTAACCAGAAGCCTGGTTGAGTGTGTTATGTCCTCCCTGCGCTAGTGGTACGAGGCCGCACGGATGTGGAGGACAGATGATGGGTGGCCACCAAGGCAGTTGCTGTAGGGCAAACTGACATCTACAAAGGGAGAAGAAATGCTTTTCAATGCTGAGAAGTAGAATGTTATTATACCTTATTATTAAATTCGGAGGCCTATTAGGAAGCAAAGTAGAGACCAGACCTGTCTGATCCACACACGAGCTAGAGACCAAGGCGATGGTGCATCCCTGGCACCTACATCCATTCTTTCATGACATTCAGGCCATGAGTGTCTCCCGTGGGCCACACGCTGTGGAGTCAAAGGCACCCTGACGCCTGGCCCTCCGCTCAAGACCACTCTTCCCGGCAACAGGAGGGCTGATTGTCTTCAAGGAGGTGATTGAGGGGTTCAAATACATATGCAGTTGATCCTTGAACAGCACGGGGTTAGCAAATTGAAGTATAACTTACAGTTGGCCCTGTGAATCCAGGGATCCTCTGTATTTGAGGTTCCATCTCCATGAATTCAACCAACCTCCTTCTATAGTAGTAGTGTACTGTTTACGATTTTTAAATATCTGCATGTGAATGAACCCTTGCAGTTCAAACCCGTGTTGTTCAAGGTCACCTGTTTTTCCAGCAAAGGGGACAAGGATGTAAGGTACATAGTACCAGATTCCTTCGTGGGAGCAGAATTCGGGTGAGAATAGGAGAGTGAGAAGCTGCCTGGAAACTTGATGAAGGCTGAGGGGAGGACTTCAAGGACAAGAGAGAAAGCAACTGAGTCTTCTTGGCAATATTGATGATAGCCCAGAGCTTCTGAGGCTTGACTGTCCTCGGGAATCCTCTAGGGACCTTGTGAAGCTGCCAATTCTGGTGCAGGAGGTCTGGGTGGGGCCCGAGAGTCTTCATTTCTCACATACTCCCAGGCGATGTCAAGGCTGTTCGTCCAAGAACAACACTTAAAAAGCAAGGGGCAGGGGGAAGGTATAGCTCAGTGGCAGAGTACATGCTTAGGACGCATGAGGTCCTGGGTTCTATCCCGGTACCTCCATTAAAAAAATTAATAAAATAAAAGTAAATAAACCCAATTAACTTCACCCCCCAAAAATAAAAAATTTTTAAGATATTTCAGCTATTTCTCTGTCTCACAGATTCTTTGCAGAAACAAACCAAAATAAACCAAAAAATAGAATTCAATATTATTTGTATGTACTTCTCCCTACTTCTGCTTTTAAAAGTGTACTTTTAAAGCACAAATATGAACAGTATTTAAACAAAGATGTTTGAGATTTGTCATCAAACAAAGTATAGAAGTTGAGGTTTGTAATTTCATTAGCAGAAGATTCATAGGTGTTGTGTTTATTTCAAAGGCAACAGTCATTCGTTATTAATGTCCTGGTCTTATCTCTAGAATAATGGAATGTGTTTCTGAGTAAGGGTCAGTTTGTGATGATCGATGTTAATGAGAATGGAAGAGGAAGAAAAATATCGTGCCCTTTTAAAAATGCAGTCCTTTAAAGAAGAGTAGGGGACTTTTCGTTTTGGCAATATTTTATTTACTTGATCAAAATAGACTCACAACAATCACATGTGTGTCAGCTAATCTTGCTGACATTAAGTAAAAATACATTATCTCTTTGCTTTCCAGACTGCCTTCTCCCAATGCCCCAACTTCACCCAGGCGAGTTTTCTTGTAAATTCTTTTAAAATGCATGCTAAGAACAAAATCGAGAAGCTTCTTTTTGGAGAGGCAAGCACTCAAGAGATTGTTAAAGTATTAAATGCAAACTAAAGCAATAGGAAAAAATACTGTTTCATAAATAGTATTTTTCTTGACTACTCAACGTTTATAAACAAAGTTTTCAAGTTTGGCAGCAAGAAGAGAAGAATCGTTCCTGAAGGCCCTTAGGGGTACAGACTCATGCTTTTTACAGAAAGGGCTGTGCAAAATTTAATTTTAGCTGGGAGACCCTACAGTTCTTGATTTAGATCATCATACAGTCACATAAATTATTATGTGACATCAGGGCAAAAGAACAGCACATTTTCCTTCTGAAAATGCACATGTTTTTATTAATATTTTTAAAGAGGAAAAAATTTTGTGTGACTAATCCAATTAAACTTCTTTAAAAGTATTGGCCTTGTCTGTTTTTTTTTTTAATTAAAAATATTCATCATCTTGGGTAGTTTTTTTCTCATTAGCTTATGTATTAGTTTTCTATTTGCCATTGTAACAATTTGTCACAGACTTAGCAGTTTACACAATGTACTTGTATTCTCTTACAGTTCTGTAGGTCGGAAGTCTGGCATGGGTCTCACCAGACTAAAATCAAGGCACTGGTTGGGCTCCCTTCCTCTCTGTAGGGTCTGGACAGGATCCTTCTCCTTGCCTCTTCCAGCTTCTAGAGGCCACCCACATTCCCCAGCCCCTTCCTCCATCCTCTGACTGCAAGGATCAGTTGAGTTCTCACATTGCAACTAACCAACTCTCCATCCCTCTCTTCCACTGTTAAAGACCCATGTGGTTACATTGGGCCCCCCTGGATAATTCAGGATATGCCCCCTATTTTAAGGTCGGCTGGTTAGCAACCTTAACTCCCCTTTGCCATTTAATGTAACGTATCTTCAGGTTCCAGGGATTAAGAAGAGGACTTCTTTGAGTGCATGTTGGGGGAGGGGAGGGGCATTATTCTGCCTACCAGACTTTCTAAGAAAGGTCTGTTGCGTTTTGGGTACAGATATCACTTACGTTATGACATTACGTCAAAATGATGTTCAGACTGCACTTCTCACTGGTGAAAGTTATTGGAGCTCTTAAGAAGCGAAATGATCCTCCTCTAGTTGCACTTACATCGATTCCCGTGTACAGCACTCCTTTTCCGGTAATGGAAACCTTGGGATAGGACCACTATCGCTGTGACTGGTCCAAAATTTATTGAGATGGAGAGGGTTATTAGAGATAGCTTAGCAGTGTTTCACCGGTGGGGCAGTTTTGTTTCCCCAGGGGACATTCAGCAATATCTGAAGACATTTTTGATTGTCACTGTTGGTAGGAGAGATGTATTACTGGCATCAGGTAGGTGGAGCCCTGGGATGCTGCTACGTCACACAGTGCACAGGACAGGCCCTATGACAAAGAGTTACCCAGCTTAAAGGGTCAGTAGTGCCAAGGTGGGAGAGCCCTGGCTTAGCAAAATGGCAGCCTAGCGCCCTGCTCTCCTTTTCACAGGCTTTTTACACTTCAGAGGTGGGTTAGATAACATCCTCTAGATAATGGGTCAGCAACTAAACTTTGGGTCAAAAGAACAATGGAAAGAAATAGAGAAGATGGATAGATCAGGACACAGCAGTCTAGGAAAAACTTAAAGCTTGAAACCTGTTGCTTGGGGTAAACAGTTCATCATCTTCACTGGGTGCTCAGGAATCATGTCATGTTTCTCTCTCTGTCCCTACGGCCAGCACAACACCAAATGCTCAGCAAGAACTTTAACACATGAAAAAGGATATTGTGTTGTGGGGGAGGGTTTAGCTCAGTGGTGGAGTGTGTGCTTAGCATGCACGAGGTCCTGGGTTCAATCCCCCGTGCTTCCATTAAAAATAAATAAACCTAATCACCCTCCTCCAAAAAACCACCAAAAAAAAACCAGAAAAAGCAACAGAATTTTAAAAAATTGAATGAAAAAAAAAGATATTGTGTTAAAAGACTGTTTGAGTTCCACAGGACAGGCATTGCAACTTCATGTAACGGAGACCCTGGAATCTCTCACTTAATAGCACTAAGGACACAGAATGGCCTGTTTTCTGAACTTTCACTATATGATAGACAACGTTATCTGGAAGGTCCTAAAAGGTTTGATAATAGGATTAAAAGTAAACTCAATTAAAAGCCAATGAGAGACCAGAAAACCCCCCTCCTTTTTCATCTGCATTAGTTTCATGCTATGGCATTTCCTGCAGGCTTGGGCACACATTATGAGAAGAGGCAATAGGTTCTTTTTACTGATGGCAACACTACATCTACAAACACCAGCTATTCACACGGCAAGCCTTCGGGCGTTTCGCACCAATGACGAAAAAGCTGACGTGAAGGATAAAACACTGAGAAAAAAATGAGCGTGACTTGGAAGCTTACCTGCTGAAATTGATGTTGTTCTCTCTTGGTTTTCATTTTTGCTTTTCTTCTCTCTCAACGTTGCAGGTGTCCCCGGCTCCATGCCAAACGCGTCGTGGGCCGGTAACCTCAGAGCCATAAAGTGGATGGACATGGAAGATAAACACGGAGGCTGCCACGGTGAGAGGCTCTCACTTCGCACTGGGAGGCCACACTGCTTGTTGGTGTTGGCGCAGAGGTAGCTGTGGTAGACTGTGTGACGGCTTCTCACGGAGAGAGCGGCTGGTCCATTTAGACCAGTCTGTGCATTATTAAATAGAGTAGCTAGAGGCTTCGAGACACAGCCTTTGGAAAGCAAATGTGTCTCACAGACGTTCTCCAGCTTATAATTACCTAGGGAGACGCGGAGGCAGGTTCAGGGCATCACGGTGCTTCCTTCTCGCCAGTTTCTGCTTTCTCCTTATTATTCGCTCCTCTTTCGGCCCCTTTTGGGAGTGCAGCGGTTAGGAGGGGAAGGTGTTCAGGATGAGAACTGAGATCGGTGCTCACCATGGAGCAAGCTGGACCCCCGGCCCTCACGTCAGCCTCTGCCCCCTGCGCAGACAGGTTTCCAGGTGGCTCGGAGGAGTTCGCTGCGGCCCTGACACGGTGGCAGGTGACAGCAGCAAGAGAGAGTGCTCCTCCAAATGGGCAAGAACTAGAAAACTTAAGTCGTTTTCATTTCTACAGAACCTCATGAAGAAGGTCTGTTTTAATCAGTCCTGGTGTGTATTCCATTCAAATATTGCCTGGTACACGGGGGGCATATGTATTTGTTGACAAGGGTTAGCTTAATGAAGTACCACAGACTGAGTGGTTTAAACCACAGAAATTTATTTCCCCGTAATCCTGGAGGCTAGAAGTCCGGGATCAACACGTCAGCAGGTTTGGCTTCTTTTAAGGCCTCTCTCTTTGGCTTGTAGACGGCCGGCTTCTCCCTGAGTCTCCTGAGACCTTCCCTCCGTGAATGTCTGTGTCTCAAGTCTCTTCTTATAAGGACACCAGTCATAATGGATTAAGGCCCTTCCACATTCCCCATTCTAACTTCATTACGCCTTTTTTTAAACTGAAGTATAGTTGATTTACAACGTTGTGTTAGTTTCAGGTGCAGCATAGTGATTCAGTTATACACAAGCATATATATATTTTTCAGATTCTTTTCCATTGGAGGTTATTACAGGATATTAAATATAATTCCCTGTGCTATATAGTAGGTTCTTGTTATTTATCTGCTTTATATACAGTAGTGTGTATCTGTTAATCCCTAACTCCTAACTTATCCCTCCTCTCTTTTCCCCTTTGGTAACCATAGTTTGTTTTCTATGTCTATGAGTCTATTTCTGGTTGGTAAATAGGTCCATTTGTATCTTTTGAAAAGTCCTTGTATCAAACAGTTACAGCCTGAGGTACTGGGGAGTTAGGACTTCAGTTTATGAATTTGGGGGAAACATAATTCAGCCCATAAGAGCAGGCAATAAATCTGTTCGTAAGCATATTCATGTCTTTACCTTAATCAGCCCACATTTTCCCCAGAGGACAGCTCATGGCCAGCTGCCTGCCTTCTCATCATGGCCCGCCGTCCCAGGAGAAAGAAGAGGATGGAGAGGAGGGTACTTTGTTCTTTGATGTCCTGGATCTTCCTTAGAAAACGGACCATCTCCATTAGTCAGGGTCCCAATATTTGGGATATGTTGTCCTCTCCGCATCCTTCTATAACCCCCATCACCCTCCCTCTAGGAAGACTGCAGGCATCCTCTGATCTGCTTCTCTACCTCTTCCCGGGCTGGAACACTTGAGGACTTCAACATGGACAACAGGGACCCATGTGATGTCATTACTTTGCAGCCCCACCCCTCCCCCATCATAGATGCTCCTGTCCACTGTGCATCAGCCACACTGAAGCCCCACCTTCAGTCTCCTTGTCACCACCTGTATCCAGGACCTACCCCAGTAGAGAAGGTATAGACCAGTCAGGTTTGCATTTTTATAGGGACCTTTACTGATCACGTGGCAGGAGGAGGAGGCCGTGAAAGTAGCCCCTAGCCAGGAACCTACATAGGGTACAAAGTTTAGGTAGCCCAGCCCCTCTCAAACAAATGTCTCATTTTTCTTCGCTTAGTTCCTGTTATGCCAATGAACATCTGAAAGCCTTAAAGGATTCATAGCATGAAAAATGTTTATCCTTCAAACCACTGTATAAGGAAAAGAAAAAGACATGGTCCAGGGGAGGCAGAACATTATGCCAAGCCAGCAAATCAGTCTAGACCTTTGTTCCAAACCTCTGTGTGTATCCACTTTCCAAGCCCTCTTGGGCACTTTTGGTCTTGGACTTGGAGCTCCCATCTCTTATTACAAGCTCCTTGTCACCCTGCTAGTTTCCTTCACCAACTTACATGCTACAGAGTGTACTGTCTTTCATCCCAGAACAGAAGAGAAGCTCCAACGGGGCTGGGATATTTGACCAGTTTGTCCATCACTGTATCCCCACACCTAAAGCTTGTTGTTGTTGTTTTAAATGTGTTTTGCTTTTTTAAAATTGGGATTCCTAGAGGTTCAACTTTCCTGGCTTCCTCCTTCTACTAGCTTCCTTCTGAGGACTCGGGGACCAGCCCGTGTGCTGCATCAGCCGTCCCATGCTGTGCTCTCTGACATTGTAGGTCCCCTTGTCGTTTGACCCTACAGGGCTGATTCCCACTCGCAATCATTAACCACCATCCGCTTTTTGCCATTTGTATTTCCCTAAGCAGAACATTGCTGGAGAACGTAACAAAACTGTCCTAAAAACTGCCCACAGTGGGAAGCTGCTAGCTAACTTCAGCTCGACCCTGCTGGCTGCCACCTTATTCTTTTATTTACCTCATTATTGTCCTGGCGCTCTTCCCTGGTGTACGCCTTTCAGTTTTTCTGCTCACCTTTGAGTTCCCAATCTTATGCTAAAACAGCCTTTCCATTCTCAAAAGGTGGTTAATTTCAACTTTGGCAAGAGCTTTGCAGACATCTGATGAAAATCTCCGCATCAGTTCCTTTCTCATGTCCTCCCTTTTCTCCATCTTAGAGTGTTTTGGGCCCATTCTCTCGTTGTTGCTTCCTGTTTCAAGAGGAAAAGTTACCCATCCTCACAACCAAGGTCACCATCTGTGGTCTCGGTTGTGTGTGGGTCCCCTCAGTTATCCCTTTGCTCTCCTGCACTCTCAGTGTCTCCCTCTCTGCTGGCTCCTTCCCTTCTCTCCGCAAGGATGTCCTTCCTGCCTCCATCCTGAAGACCAAGCTATTTCTGCCCCCTCTGCTTGATCCTGCCTGAAATGTTCTCTCCTGTCCCTTTTAGTTCGTGAGCCTGGGTGTGCTGCCCACACACCGAGCTCTGCTCACCCACCTCCCGGTTATTCGTTCACTTCCCACGACTCTGGCTTCTCTCTCCAGTGACTTTCACTCTCTGCTGTGCTTCATCCCAGCCACACTGAGTTAACCACCAGGTCCTTTCAGTCCTTCTGCCCTCTGCCTCTAATAGCCTCCCCTTCCCACTCACGGCAACCATTAACTTTGAACAAGTTCTGTGGTTTACATGATGACTGTAGTCACTTGATTGGTTTCCAGTGTACCCTGCAAAGCTCTGCAAAATTAATCTTGCTGCAATCGATTTCATCATTTGATTCTTCTATTCAAAAATCTTTAATGGCACTCCATATTCATGGGATAAAAATAGCCCGATCCTTAAATCTATTTTTAGTCAGTCCACCACCATCCTTCTACTCCATGCCAAGCAAACTCTGGAAAGAGTTCCAGCTTCTACCATTCTTGTTTTTAACTCGTTCCACCACCAGACTCTCCATTCCAGCAGAAAATTCCCATCTCTAAATTTTCCCGAGGCATTTTCCCACCGGAAACCATCATCCGTCCCTCCCCTCCAGATGCTTCCAAATTCTGCCCATCCACGAACTCTCCACAACTCCTCCCCTCGCCTTTTATTCAACAACTGTTCATTTAACACCTGATATTTACCAGGCACTGTTCCAGGTGCAGGGAACACAGACAGAAGTGAACACAGTGGTCTCAAATTCCAGCTCTTCTGGAGAAAGACAATAAACAAAGAAACCTGTGTGTTGGTAATAAGTGCCAAGAGAAAAATGAACCAGGGAAGAAGGGAAGGAGGTCAGAGAAGGCCTCATGGAGAAGATGGCCTTGAAGCAGAGACCTGGATGGTGCCAGAGGGAGCCTTGAGAATGTCTGGTAGAGAGGGGTGGTCCAAGGAGGAAGATGCCCAGGGTGCCAGGAACCAGCAAGAAGGCCAGTGTGGCTGATGGGAATTGTGCAAGGGTTATTAAGAGTTGCAAGTGAATGAGCATGTGGTGGGAGGTAAGTCCAGGTTACAAAGGACCACCCTCTCAGGAATCTTGAATGCCATTGCTAGGATGTTGGCTTTTATTCCACATGAAATAAGAAACCATTAGAGGGTTTCGAGACATGTTCTGCTTTCATTTAGAGCAATCACTCTGGCTGTTGTGCTGAGAATATACTAACAGGCAGAAATGGAGACCAGTTATTATCATACCAGTTCAGACAGAAAGATGGAGGTGGCTTGGTCTAGGACGGTAGTAGTGGGGGTGGTGAAAAGTGGTCAAATTCTATTAATATTCAGAAGGTTGAGCTGACAGAATTGCCGACAGATTGGATGTGGGCTGTGAAAGAAAGTGGGGAGAAGTGCCCAGGGCACTGAAGAGTAGACTTGCCGTGGGTTATGATGGGGAAGACTTGGGAAGGATGAAGGCGTTCAGACCTGACACGTCGTTATCGGTGAGGTTTATTCCTCACCCAAGAGGAGATATAAAGCAAGCACATGAATAGACCAGGCTGGAGCTCAGGGAAGCAGCCTGACCAACACGGCCAAAGAAGACCTCTCTCCTCTGTACACGTCTAGAGCTTGGCATCCATGAAATCCAGAGTTCGTTATACATGAACTGCCCTGTGATGCCTAGTGCGTCATTCCTTTGTATTATGTAACTCTCGTGTCCTCGTGGGCTGGACCAGCACAGTTCTCTTTCATCAGTGTCTCGTACACTTGGCACATCTCTAGCCACGCAGCAGTCCAGCCGTCCCCCTACCATTCTGTGAGTTCACTACCCCTGACTCGAAAACAAGCCTGTTTTGACTACTTCTTGTTCTCTCCCTCGCAGGCCACTACGTCCACGGCATTTGTATCTATGGAAACGGAGACTTGAAGTGGTTGATTAATTCATCAAGCCTTTTTGCCAACAAGTTTGAGCTCACGACGTACCCCCTTACTGTGGAATGTCTTGAACTGCGGCTTCGAGAGAGAACCCTCAATCAGAGTGAAGTTGCGATACAGCCCAGCTGGTATTTCTAATCTGCTGCAGCTCAGGGCTGGAGGGAAATTGCAGCTGGGAAGGAGAGCCTTTCTTTGGGAGAGAACTTTGCCTAGAGTTAAATGAACAGTTTGAGGACCACAGTTACGGCTTCAGGACCCGACTACACTATTACATATTAAAATACCTACTGGACACTGTGAAATGCACTATCAGGATGGTTGCACAGAGTGATCCCGGTGCTCTGGTCACACTGGCAGTTTCCTGAGGCTCCCCTCTGTATCAGGCTAAAGTTTTGATCAATGATAAATGTAACTGTCATCAGATCTTTGCATCGGATACTCATGGTAGATAAATGCTCTAATGAAAAGGAGAATTGTAGGTAGTACTGTTTAGGAAAATAAGAATTGGGTGTCTTTGAAGAAGGAATCTTTCATAACAGATCGATAGCCACACATTAACGGACACTCCTTCTCTTTGCTCAACCGCACTTAGGCGTAGAAACCGTTTTCTGAGTAACTCACCAAACTCCTTTAAAACTTGACTGAGAACGAGATCTTGTTCCTGCGTTGCAGCAGCAGCACTTTCCAGTTTCCTGTGTCTTAGGTTCTTTCTAGAATGTAAAGTCGTTCGCAGGAAACAGAATTGAAGACGGCAGTCACTGCCTGCCACTTCAGTAAAAGGACCCCGCGAATCAGTTTCTTGATGATTTGTCAGAATGTGCTCCGATCCCTCTTGCATCATTTTCCATTGAGAACAAGGAAGAGTTCTCGAAGAATGAAGATATTCCTCCAAGACAGGAATTGCATAGGAATGGTTGCATAGGAGAGTGAATTACCGTCCTTCTCTGCTGCCACCCCTCGCCCCCACCAAAGTGATGTTACCTGCAACATGGAGACCGAGTTGTAGCTGTGAGCCCTTCAGGAATCCAGAATGTTCCCCGGTAGCTTTGTCATGCCTGGTGCTGATAGGGGTGCCTGGGTTTTTAAGAGCTTTCACCTGTGGGCGAAACTCTCTGTCACTTACCTTTTGTCCCATTCGCCCATCCAATTCATTCATTCAGGAGTCAGTCAATAAGCATCTCCTGGGTGTCTGTTATACAGCTGACACATGCAGAGACAAGGAGGAGGAGAAAATCAGAAGCTGTTTCACTCTAAACATCTTGGCAGTAACGTCACTGTTGGAGAGGCTGCTCTAAGAGAGTCTAGAATCTGGTTGTGTTTTATTAACGCACGCATGTGCGGGGTTGCCGGTTGTGATATCGAGCCGAGGGCATCGTCAACTACACAGTGAGGTCTAAATCGGGGATTATTCCCGAGAGAGAAGTGGGGGACGAGGCAGCAGCTGCAGCGGATTGCGTTCTAGGTGTCCTGCCAGCAACTTGACACCTCATTGCCTTCCAGCGTCACGGCTCTCTTGTGAAGCTCGCGTTGATCGCCCCATTTTGCAGGTGTAGTTAGTGAGGCTCAGACAGGGTGGTCGTAAGCACTAGGGAACAAGTTCTCTGAAAATCAGGATTCCTTTCCTGGTCTGCTTAGCTCATTGCCTGAGGTGGGCCACTGGGAGAAGGTGACATAAAGCCATATTTAGTATAACAGATTGGCTTCAGTGTTAATATTTGAAGAAAGATCTTGTCACCTCGGGAGAATGTGAAGTCTACTTTTGTACTCCGCTATCTATTGAGTGCCGTAATATTTATTCTAATGAAAAACAGTGACTACAACTCATGGTACACTTAATGAATGCAATTTTATTATTTTTTTCTGTCCTTGTGCCTGTTGAATGTTGGTTACATTTAAGGGAATGACTTTGAAGTAAAGCCTTCTTTTCTCCTGCTACTGAAAACAATGAAACTGTACTGGGTAATGAAATGTCAAAGGGTAGGGAATACACCCAGAGCTAATGGTAGAATCGAAACGTCACCGTTTTTTGTTTTTTCCAGCTTATTTACATGACGCCCCCTGAGAAGAAGGAATGTTTTATACTGGATCTTTCTCATGTGGAACAAGAAATCTTTTGGAATAGATGTTTACATGTCCATTGCTGGTCATTTCTTCTATGTCTGAAGTGCTTTAATATTGGAAGAATGTCGTGTTCGGACTAGTGGGTTTAGGCTAGCCCATGAGATGCCTTTGTTTTGATGACGTTCCACGTTGTTTTCTTGGAAATAAATTAATATATTGTTTTCCATCTTTGGGGCTATTGTGGATTTTTATTTGACAAATACTTAACAAGGTAATTCTCCTAGTATGTTCTAAAAAATGCAAATCAATACATTCATACATACACACATACCTGTCTAAAAATGCCCGTTCACTGGAAAATAATTACGCTTTCTCTTTTGGGGGTGTTGGGGAGAAGAGAATATAATGGAAGGCCAGTTTCATTTAAATTGGGTACAACGCATTTAAAAATTTGAGGCAGGAATAAGTTACCCTGCTATATTTGCCTCCTTTATTCATTTTTTCAAAATCAAGACAATTTAGGAAAAAGACATGTTAGTAATATTATTAATTGGCTTTATCAAATGCCAAAGTCTTTGAGCAGCCTCTCAGTGCTGAGTTTTGCTAAACAAATATTGTCTCGAACAGACACATGGAAAATGACAGAAATACGAAGGGAAATAATTCCTTTGAAGAACATCTGGTATACTCTTTCTTTTAAATGTAAAATATTTTAAAACTAAAGTGAAAAACATTGCAAACTACAAAAAAAAAATGCTCATAAAAATAGAATACAGAAGACTATAGAATAAAAAGTGAATTAATACAAAAGATATAGAATGAAAAGTGACCTCCTTTCTCCAGAGGCAATTACTTGTTTGGTATATGTTCGCAAGTGTCTTTTCAATATACACAGAGATATATGTATCCTGTGCAGTGCTGTCCAAAAGAATCTCAGCAGTGATGACAATGTTCTATATCTGCACTGTCCGAAATGGTAACCACGCATGTTAGCTGCTGGGCACTTGAAATGTAGTTAGCGTGACTGAGGAGGTGTTAGCTGCTTTTAGCCACGTGGGACTAGTGGCTATTTTATAGCACAGTTGTACAGCTATGTGCTCGTGTACGCAGTGGAAATAAACACAAAGACACACATACTGGTTTTTTTTTAATGGGTTGATTATACAGAGATATAATAGAAATTATATCTTTTTGCCACTTGTTTTTGGGGTCCCTTCAAAAACAAACTTAACTTTAGAATAGCTTTAGTTTTACAAATTGCAGGTAGCACGAAGAGTTCCTGTAGACCCTGACAGTCTCCCCGATCATCAGCTTGTATGGACTCTGTTCTGTTCTACTGAGCTTTTGGTTTATCATGTGCCAAAACCATATATGAAAAATCATTATAAGCCTCTGACATGTGGCAAAGAGAGACAGAGGATCTCTTACTGATTTTTTTTGACATTTTCTTAGCTATTTTTTGCTCATTTAATTTTAGGCAAATATTAGAAACAGTTCGTCAGATTCCTTGAAAGATCCTGTTGAGATCCTGATGGAATTTGCACAGAATTCACATTGATTGACTTGGGGGGTAACCATACCTGGACAAGACTGAGCTGTCAATATGTCTGCTTACCCGGGTCCTTTTTTATGTCCTTCACTTGTATAGCTTCCCCCATAAAAGTCTTGCAGATGTCGTATTATGTTTATTGCCGTGTATTTTAATAGAGTTCTTTGTGCTTTTGGGGAATGAGATTTTTAAAGTATATTTCTATTTTGCTATTGATAGCATAAAGGAAAACAATTGATTTCAATTCTGTATGTGGTTTATTAAACTTTTTTATTATTTCTAATAGTTCCTTAAATTGTTACACTTCACATTTTTGGGGACTTATGTATAAATAACAGTGTTTGCTTTTTCCTCCTCAGTAAGTCATTTTGTTAAGATTATTACTAATCTTATTTCTTTCTTGTCTTCTTACATGCAGAAATCTGCAATACAGTTTCAAACGGTAGCACCTGTCCTTGAGTTGTTCCCAACATTAAAGGGCGAGTTTAACTCTTGTGTATGATGTTGGAGGTTTGCAGTAGATTTCTGGTAGATACCCTTTATTGATTTAAAAATCAGAATACCAGAAAATAAATATAAACTGAAATATATTCCAATTTTTAAAGTCCCAGTTGCTATCTCTTTTCTTTTGAGTGACTTTGATTTAAAATTGTTTCTCTTCAAAAGGTAAGAGGAAAAGGTCACCACTCTTAATCTTTTTATACAGTGAGAATTTAGTATACCAGTTTAAGTCAAGTAGGAAACTGGAGCAGGGATGTATTTGAACAGATGAGGCAAATAACTGGAGTTTGGGACGCTTAATGCCGGACCTGAAATTTTCTATGGTAACTACTCCCTCTTCTGGTCAGGATGGCTTAGGGATTAAGAGGTCAAGCTAATGGGAAAAACACTGGGAGTCAAGTTCTGACCTTGGAAAGAGGACCAGCAGTGATGTCTCTGCAGGGAGGAGGGTAAGAGGTGAAGCTGGCCATGCTCATTTCTCCATAAGGAGCATCTACAAACTTCTTTAACAAATGAACTATGCTAGTTTGAAGTTCTGGTGGGTTTCCATGGCGTCTGCAGGGAAGATTAACCTTGACAAGTCCTGCTGTGAGCCCAGAAGGCCTGACTTACATCTTGAGAAGGATCCTGGGGGCTGTGTTAGATGGGTGGGCTGAATGGTCCAAAACTAAAGGGTTCTTCTGGAAAGGAGACAGAAGTCAGAAACTGATGGCCAGCATCATGTGTCAAACAGGATATTGGGAGAAATAGTTTAAAAAGTTAGTGCAAGGTTTAAGTGAATTATTTATGAACTCCAGGCTATTTATTCCAGTCAAAGTCAATTGTTAGTGAACTTCTGGGCATTAGCTGTACACAAGGCAAAAATAGAAGATTTTAGATGGCTTTCTAAAAAGTTTTAAAGTAGCTTTAGGCTTCACAGACAAGTTACAAAAATGGTACAGAAAATTCTTGTAGGTCTTTCACCCAACTTCTAATGCTAACATCTTACAAAACCAAAGTTCAATGATCAAAACCAGTTTTGTTGAGTTTTTTGTCCTGTGCTGGCTGTGTGTTGAGAGTTGAAGTCAAGTGACCCTTACCTTTGCACAGGACAGACCAGATGGGTAAGGCGAGTCCCAGTAACATGTAGTGCCATCACATTAAAACAAATGACAGCAAAGGGACTGGTCTCAAGGGACAGTTCTTGATGACAATGGTCCTATGAAAAGGACGACTCTGTAGATTCTTTATTCTAGACAAGGAAAATGAGATAAAAGAAGAGGATGAGGAAGGAGAGCAGGTCCATAGTCTTATCACTAAGAGGGTGATGGAGAAGGAAGCAGGTGTACTGCAGTTAAAATGTGTCCTGCATCTTACAGATCAATGGTTGGAAAACTAATTTAGATTCAGTTTCTTAGGATTATACTAAGTGGATGTAATGGGTCGTGAAGAAGGAAAAGCACTGAATACTGCCACGTCCACACATTTCAACTCTGGTGCTTAACACCTTTGGTGGTTCCCTTCCGCATACCTTTGAGCAGGTGAGGCGTGGTAACCCTATGATTCGCATTCCACGGTAGCTTTCACAGAGGACTCAGCAGGAAGTATTTGAATTGGACTTGCCAGTTGCATGGTTGTATATCAGAGATGATTCAGTGGAAGAATGACGGTTTAAAGAATAACCACAGTCATAAGATGGGATTCTTTTGAGATAACAGTGACAAAAGGCAAGAGTGACTGAAATCCATTATAGGCTGGTAGAGAAATATTTATAAATATCGGAAATTTACTAAAACACTGATGTTTGTGATCATTACCATAAATGGAAATTTTCCTATCTGGATATGTGATCACAAAAGCTTTTCTAAGGAATGGTGAGAATCTGGGCAAATGCCATTTGAAAAACTTCCACATGTATAAAATGGGGCTAGAGAAATATTGCTGTGTTTTCATAGGATTTTTGATCAGGAAGCTTCCACTTATTTCTGCATGTATTTAACAAATGAACTATGCTAGTTTGAAGTTCTGGATATACAGCTACATATTAAGGCTGTTAGATCTTTTACATCCTAGTTGAAGCAATAAAAAATCCCCCTCCCCCAAATAACCAACAAACAAGATAATTTTAGATAGTGATCTAGTGTTACTGTGAAAAAAAATAAAGCCAGTGAGATGATAGAGGTCATCAGATGTGGAGGAAATGTGTCTCCTTTAGGTTAGGCTGTCAAGCAAGACCTCCCTGTAGAGGGAATAATTTGAGATTACAGTTTTGCTCTCTGCAACTGATCACAAAGACTGTAGCTGGACATGAAGACTTGCCTTTACCAACATATTCCTTGGCTTTGTTAAAAAGTCAGCCAGTCAAGAGGTCCTTGGAGAAAAGGCTGGTTCCAGAGCTTGGGCAGGGAAAGTACGAGTCTGCAACACACTGTAGCACCAGAAAGTAGGACAATGCTCAGAGAATGATGAGAACCTAGCAAAAGGCACCAGAATCACCTTGAAGAGACCACTGCTGGCTAATCTAGGACACCTTGAGCATCAAAATAAATATGACAGTTGTAGACTGTAACTCAATAAGAGCTCGTGAATCCATATGTGCATGCACATATGCATACATTTATACACACATAAATAGTGTAGAAGGGGAAATTCTTATAGTAAAAGGCCAATAAATACAGAAGGAACGATGGAGTTAGGAAATCATTAATGGTGCTAAAGCTAATGGGCGAAAATTTGACAAGGAACAGGATATTTACATGGTTTCAAAATATCTCCCCACAGATGGCTTATTAATTATAAACATACAATTGTAACTTTACAGTGGAAAAATAAAACCTAGAGACATCATCTAATCAAGTGATCAAAGTCACATCACTCAAACAGGGACAGACTGGCTGACAGGAAGCGCTGAGGTCATAACGTCGCTTTAGCGGTGTTCCTGCTGAAGCTGCATAAACCGAATCTATCGTCATGAGGAAACAGCAAACAAACCAAAATCGATCAACACTGCAGAAAATAACCGGCCAGTGCTCTTCAAAGATATCAAAATCAAGACAGACTGGAGAACTGTCCTTGATTAAAGGAGATTAATGAGAAATGAAAATCAATGCAATACAAGATCCTGAATTAGATACAAAACTGGAGGTATAAAGAAAAGCTATAAAGGACATTACGGAGACAGTTTAAAAAATGAGTATACAGACTAAGGATTAGATAATACTAGTGTGTCACTGTTAAGCTTCCTGATTATTAAAAAAAAAGTTCTTTGCCCTTAGGAAGTAGCAGAGTGGTTAGTGTATAAAGTAGTTTGATGTCTCCACCATACGCTCAAATAGTTCAAAAATGTACATGCACACAGAATGGCAAAGCCAATAGAACATGTGCTAACCAAACACACACATCCAAGCCACATAGCTAGTGCCACCATCAGTGCAGGTCAGGCCCATCTCAATGAGACCTATTTTCAAATGTCTTCCAGTGCAGCCTGTTTGCTAGTTCTGTGACCTCTTCTGGCATTTACGTAATATAACCCTTTCAGAAATGAATATGCTGGTAAAGTTTATGTGGATTACATTCTCTCATGTCAATCACACTGAAGTCCTGGAAACCTGTATTTACATATGGAATCCGATACATTCCTGGATTAACATACAGAATCCAATACATTCCTGGGAGAATTTTTTTTTTTTTAACAAACACAAAAATCAAAATACGATGAATATGCTATCTGGGTAGCTTAATGATCATCTTTCTTTTCCAGAGTCTCATCTGGGATTTCAGAGTGAACTGTATCCAGGGGCTGCCAGTGGCAATTCATGAGAGAGTCGTAGAATTCTTCACTTTCCTCCATAAATTCTTTGTTTAACTCCTCAATATTCAAATGGAGATTTGGGTCTGCAATAATACCAATAATACATATGAAAAAAAAATAGAGTTTTACAGGAAACATTTTAGAAATGGCTTAAAATTAAAGTTTTAAAAAACATTAGCAGGAAATGTTACAGGTACTGAAGGCTAAAATTTTTAAATTGTGTGTTTACTTTTAACCAGACTCGAAAATAGAAATTTCAGCTATTAAAGAACTAGTACTACCAGACTCAAAGAGCATATAGATGGTGGAAGAGATGGAGAAAACATACGGAATTGAGAGAGAATTTGGAGCTGAATGGACAGTATTTGGAAATGCCTTCAATTTGGAGCAGAGGGCAAAGGAAGGGTCAAGGATGAGTCCTGAGTTTCTGGCATGAGTACGTGGGCGGGTATGGTACCAAAGAGTAAGCCAGAACCAAATCCCTGTGACACAGCTTTGAAAAAATAAATATGATGCTCTATCTACTTAGCTAACAGTTTGATGTAAATGAATAAACTGTTCATGGCAATTAATTCAGAAACAGAACACTGGAATTTTCCAGTAGGATCTCTCAGGTTCTAGCCAGTTGAGTGAATGAGGAACCTGGAAAAGGGGTTTGTTTTGTTTTCAACTAGTGCAACACAGAGTTTCTGTTACCTTCTAGCGAATCTTCATCTGGGTTTTCAGCCAGAGCTGTGGTTCCCTACAATGAAAATCAGTATTTTAAGAAAAAAGAATTTTACAGAAATGGTTACTATCGACACACTTTCTTGGAAGCTCTCAAAAATAATATCTATGACCCTAAACTCCCTTTTGATCAACTTGATTTTGAATTTTGATGAAAGAATCTTTAAATGATATGAGACTCATTTAATGGGTGAACTGAGTCCACAGAAGGAAAGTCACAAAGGAGGAGCATTAGACAGCGCCTTCGGCCTCTCTGAAGTTTCGGGGAACTAATGAGCATCCTGGGCCTGGGCAACAGGGACCCTGCATCAGGCTAGGGACCCAACTCTCCACCTGGAGCTCTGCCCTTCCTTCCAGATGACAGTCCGCGAAGTCTCCGTCAACACATTCCCTCGTGGCCTTCTAATCACATCCCCAACCCCACAGCTCAGCTAAGGACCAGTACAGTAGGTGCCTAAGGAAAGGCTGAGGCCACAGAAAAGCAAACCCATCAGTTAACTTCTTATGTTAAGTTCTAGAAGCACCCCCCAGATACATCTTGGTTAGTTCATCAAGGCTCTGTGGGGTCTCCTGGGACCGTGTAAGTTTTTACAACTTCTCTCTATAGGCACCTGCTGGGATCTGTCTTTGTCAAGGATGCACAGCTGTTCCCAGGAAACACCTCATCCAGGAAGGGCCAAGTTAGCTCCTGGCACCAATGAACTTAAATTAAGCCTCCCTTACTAATAAGAGCACCATAATACTGAAAGCCCAGGATCCACCCTCTCTTCTTTTCAATCTATCTGAAAGGATGACTCCCTTTCATACCAAAATAGATCCTAGTTGGGAAAGTTAATGACATGGTTGTCATAAATTCAATCATACCATTGGTGCATTTTTTCTATTTAGAAATGGCTAAGACAGCCAGAATATTACATGAGGCCTTTCTTATACTACAGTGTCCAAGAAATCCCACATTTCCTCCTTTTCAGTGTGTGCTCTGGTAAATGTGGACCCTCCATGACCAGGGCGCAGGGAGTAGAAGTGATCTAGAGACAGAGATTTCTCTCTGGTCTGAGGTTCAACCAAGCAAGTGTTCTGGTCTTTCAACCACCTATAAATCATTCTCCTCTACTAGACATAGTGTGGGAACATTGTGCTGATGGACCCCAAAGACCTGAGGATTATTTTGAAGACATCCACTTTCACGAATTTTAAGCAAGACTCAGTGTCAAAACAGAGATGGCTCCCGGGGGGCTAACCCCCTCAACTTGGGGAGATAAGGAGTATGGACACAGGAATCCTGCAGAGGGGGAAATGGGCAGTAAAGCGATGGCATCTCTTAGAGGACACACTCTATCAGGGACGACGTTAGGGAAGGCTTGTGAGGGAAAAACACCCCCCTCCCCAACCCCGGGACCTTACCATCTTGAATTTTGCTGACCAGCTTCATAACTGGGAATTCCCACCAGGATAGCAGGCAGGTGGTTCAAGTTTGGTAACCATAGCCACCAAGGAAAATATATTTCTAATTCTTGAAAGAAAACTGCATGTTATAGTAATCATTTACTAGGAAGTGAGATTAAAAAAAAACAGTACATGACAACAAATATGGGGAGAAGGAAGAGGAAGGAGTGGCAGAGCGAGAAAAAAAGGATGTTCATTTCTTTTTAATTTTTGTTTCTTTTTTTGTTTCTTATTGTCTTTTTATAATTTCTCTGTAGGTTGCTAATTTCTTAGTTTTCTCATGACTGGAGGGAAATCAAGAAGTACGTTCATTTCTGAAGTTGACAATATACTCAAACCCATACTTCCCTGTTTAAAGATACAAAGGTAATCACAAGACGGCAGGTAGACCATCTCCCAAAAGAGCCCAGAAAGAGGTGAAAGAAAATAAATGTGACAAAACCTCAGGCAATACAGCAAAAGATTTTTTTCAGAGATGCAATATCAAATATCTGCTAAAAGGCTAAAACCCAAATTGGGTTTAAAAAGAAAAAGAAAAGCTAAGATATTTAACAAGATATTTTATATAAGAGGCACACCTAAAACAGACTTGAAGAATTGGAAATGAAAGTCTGAGCGGGGGAAAAAAAAAAAACACCAAGTTAAGGCAAGTTTTAAAAACTGAGGGCTTAAGTATTAACCCAATTCTGGTGTCAAAGCCAAGGCCATCACACCGAGTGCTACTGGTAGGAAACAATTTGGGGAGAAAAATTTGTAACACTCTGACTGCAAAGAGCTAATTTCCCTAATATGTAAATATCTCACAGTCACCAAAAGGGAGGGGCACAGCCCAACAGAGAAAAGGCAGACAAAGGACATCAAGGAAGCCACAGAACACAGATACTAACAAGCATTTGAAAGGTATTTGCCCCCAGTAAAAAGCAAATGCCTTCCTCACCTGTCAGTCCTGCTCATCACACACAGAAAAACACGGAGGAGCAAGCCATGACGTTAATGCAAAGTGTAAACTCAGGCTTTTTGGAGACAAGTTTGCTGTTTAGAGTTTTAAATGTTATATCCTTTACCCCAGATCTTACACTTGAGACATTTTTTTCTTAGCCCCAAACCACTTGAATCTTGAAAATAGTAAAAGGCAGTTTGTTAAAGCACTGGATACATTTGAAATGTCAGTGGATAACATATGAGCTAAAATCACAGCGCATTCAAATGGGCGGCTTTTAAAGGAATCCCTCCTGGTGCAGCTTGTAAGCAGGAGGCAAGGAGGAAGCCAGCAGGCATATGCTTCACAGTCCATTCTTGCCCAAGGCGCCCCCAACTCCCCAAACAGAAGTAAAGTCCAATCACACTGACTCAGTGAGAGTACAAGAGAAAAATCTAGAGGATGCGGATCCACTCGAACAATGCTTTCTTCTGAGTGGGGTGGGAAGAAGGGAGAGGGAGGAGCGGGGGAGACTTTCCCTTAATCCAAAACATCTTTCAAAGCGATCCGTTACTTTAGCAATCAAAAAGGAAGATTTTTTTTAATGTCTTTTTCAAGCATGTTAATGTTCACTGCTGTAGCAAAACAAAACAAAACAAAACAAAAACTACCTCTTGTCCTATTTCAAGTATTTAAGAGTAAAAGCTATTGAATGATGATAATCTTCAATTTAGTAGCACAGACAGCACCAGACTATGATTTTGTTTTCGGAAAATAGTGAGGACATAAATTGTTTGCAAGTCAACATTTCTCAGGTCGTCAGCTTTTACTCTCTGGGACCAAATGAGGGAGCAGAAACCATGGCTGTGGGAACCTGAATGACAGGATCTGGAGGCGTGAAGATAAGAAAAAGGTGCTTCCACTAAGGGCATGCGAACTACACAGTATTCATGCCAGCAGGGGGTACCTCGAGTGTGAGCAAAGGTTCAGCTGGGTGTCCAGGGGTCTCGCGTGCAGAATAAAGGCTGGGTCCATTTCCATCCAGTGCATAACCACAGCTGCAGCCGGAAGGAGAGTAACAGCTGTGCTGCTGCTCGTACCAGTTGCCAAAGGGGTAACCCTGGTAGGGCTGGAAGTCTGGCTTCACTCTACGGAAAGAGGGGAGAGGACCGGAAACACACCATCACCCAATCAGGCAGAATTATTCAAACCCCGAGGATTCTCTCTTCTTTCCCAGACCTTACAGGTAAGGATGATTTCTGCTTTCACTGTTTTAAGAACACCTACTTTCAAAGCAATAGTTTGTAAATTGCCAAAGATTGTATACGAAATAGAACAGTATGGGCCTTCGTTTTTGTTCAGAGTAGGAAAAATCAGCTCACCTTTGCCAGTACCAATAATAATTATTTTGTGGAGCTAGACCAAAACCTGCAAAACGCTCCTGTCCAGCCATTACCCAGACATAAATTGAGGCCAGGAATCCAGAGTTTTTACTCCCGCATCACAAATTCCAGCTCCTGGTGTAAACTCTCTCAACCCAACAAATAACTCTGACAGCAGCCCACAGAGACAGCAATTATCTTCAGTGGCAATTCCTGGCAGGTGATTAATTCCACGACTTTCATGACAGTGTGGGTTAAGGAGTGAGTGAGGCAGGATTGCACTGGGGTCACCTGTGGGAGCTCCTGCAACAAGTCTGCAAGGAGCTGCCAGTCCCCTCCCCCTGTGACGAGGCCTGGGGAAGCCAGCCAGAAGGGTGAGGGTATGGGGGAGAGAGTGACAGAGAGGGAGTGTGTTAATAGGTAAGAAAAGCACTTTTAATCTTTAAAACCTTAAGACAAATATTGCAGTTTGATTCCCTCCTCAACTCAGTTATCTGCAAAGAATAGCTATTGGAACTAGCATCTAGTGGACTTCTTTTTAGTTTAACATCCCCTGCAGGTTGAAATCATTATCTCAATCCCCCCTCCCCCCACACACACACCCTTACCTTAATTCAAGTGCAGGAAAAAATTTTAAAGTATTTCTGTGGTTCAATATATTTTTTTAAAAGCATGATAAAGCAGGGCTTCCTAAACATGAGTGCACATTCAGATTACCCGAGTATGTTTAAAATGTGGGTTCAGATTCCAGAGATTTGGCGTGGAGCCTCACATTCTGCCTTTCTAGCCAGCTCCCATGCACTTTAAGAAGCAAGGCTACACAAAGTGTCAACATTTAAGAAGATAGCTTTTGAGTCTAAACAGGGGCCCTTAGGGTTTGGCCATTTCCCTGTAGCTTGTTAATACCCGTCCCACTGTTACCTCACTATTCCACTATTCAAGTGCTTGATGTATTCTATAGTCACTTGTGATGTGAAAAATAATAATCATGATGAATTCAGATCATTCAGTCATTCACCCACCATTTACTGAGCACCTACAATACGCAAGGCAGGTGCCTGGCGTTGGTGAGACAGTGGGGCTTATACTGAGCAGATTTCCCTGTGTCTTCAAGGGAGGTGTTGGTCAGCAGCTGTGCACACATTGCTTTGTGCCACCCAATGTCCAGTTTCCTTTCCTTCCTTAATAACAGAACCCTGATTTTATTTGCAGAGGGGTGGCCACAGGTCCTGCTAAAAGACTGCATTTCCTGGTTCCCTCTTTGCAGGTAGATGTGGCCAGGTGGCCAAAGTGTGGCTAATCCGGTGTAAACAGAATGGTTATAAGAGGATGGAGGAAAGCTCTGTGGGCAGAGGGAGATTGCTCAGCTGGAAGCAGGCCTTTTTGGACTTCCCCTGTCCAGGCCTAGTGCTAAGATTGCAGATACGACGGTTGGAGCCAAAATAACTCAGCACCTCTCTCGGCCCATGATGTGATGTCGAGGAGGAAGTCACGCACCCAAGTACAGGAGCTAAAGGAAGAACAGATCTGTATCCCTGAGGACCACAGACTTCCTGTTCCAGCACTAGACTAAGGTACCTGCCTTCCACTTCAGAAATGTGTCTTGTTTAAGCCACTGTTGTTTTAAGTGATAGGGAGTTAAAAACAATTCTTAGCTACTATAGCAGCTTAGAAATCAAATGCAACATATCAGTTAAGGATTCTTTAGTGAAAACTTTTAATATTGTTATTTTTTGTCTCTTCTTTTAGGACTTTTTTTTTTTATAAAAAGGTCAGAATTTTGGCTATGAATGGGTGAGAGATGGAGCTGCATTTGGAAAGGAATGTGGGAGGTGAACATTCATGATAAGACGGTAAGGAGGCTGAGGGAAGGAGAGGCCACTGTGACACTTTGAACCCACCCAGGACAATGGCCGGGGCTGGGGCACCCAAGACCATGAGCAAGGCTCCAGAGATGAAGATGGACATCCAAGCGTTTTGCAGATGATGGTGAGAAGGAAGAGGTCACAAATATTGCTTTGCCCTCTAACAACTGCAAATGCAAACTTCTCAGGGTTCACCTGGATCAGTCCCATGAAGCAGGCGCAGTGAATTTCTACCAGGCCAGTGTCCAGGGGAAGTAGCCCACTCTCTCTGCTTCCCTGAGCTCTGCCTACAGAGGAGACCAAAGTCCTCTGGGAATAGAGCACCTGCAAGCTCTGTAGTCCCCTTGCTACCTGTCACACTGTGGAATATTAGACTCACATGATATTGCCAACGGGGCCAGCTTATCTCCACTGTATCCTGCTTTCAGCCACTTAGCACCGCCCTCCCTCCCCAAAAAACAAAAACTGGCTCTTTTTTTCTTTAGCAAACCAAAGCCAGGCACTCAATAAATATTTGCTGAATGAATGAATAAATCACTGCATGGCTCAAGCGTAAAAAGCTTTTCTATCAATAATTTAAAGGCAACACTGAATATCCTGTTGTTCTCTGGTGTTAATGAACCCTGAACAGTGGGCTGTTTCTTGGCAACTGCAGTTTTCACAAGCATGAGACTGAATGAATGGCTTTTTACATCCTGTGTTTGGAGAGAGAACAGGAGGTTCTGCAGGAAGTGTGCTCCGTTTGAATCCAGCTGAGCAGGTAGAGAATATTGTGTTGTGTGTTTTTCTTTAGACAATGAAAAAGCACTTCTCTTCTTGGTTCAAGAGGAGGTTTGAGCCCAAGGACACGTAAAAAGCCACACCGCGGCGTCTGTCACTACTTGGCTATGTGGTTTTGAAAGAGTTCCTTTTCTGGACCTACTTCAGCATTGATAACCGCAGACCGGATGAGTGTATTTTAGACTTTGAGGTACCAATATTTTTTGAAAAAGTAATGAAATTTTATCAGTGCTTTCCTTCATAAATGTACATGCACAATTTTGCATATGATTTCAGGGATTCACAGCCCCAAAAGCTTATCCATGAACTCCCCCAGATTCAGAACACCTGAACTAGATGCTCTAAGGTCTTCTGAGCTCTCTGATTGATTCTACTAAATTGTCACATAAAGAAACAAAAAGTAAACTGCTCTAAGTTATGTTTATGTTGCCTGCACTATGGTTTTCATTTTTGAACCAACTGTATCCTAAAAGATTCCTGGCTGGAGCAAGACTTTTTTAAGCCACAAGGTTCTTCTCTAAAATGTGACAGATGTTTAAGCAGGTAAATGTGTGACAATCTGGTAATAGATGCTGAGTATGGTAATTACCCTGATAGAGTGACATATTAAAATTAATTTCAAATGAGTGTTATTTCTTCTCAAACAGCAGTTGAGATTTCCCTGGGGTAATGAGGCAAGGCCCCAGGGGGATTCCAGAAGCACCAGAACTACAAAAAGCCTGTGATTTTGAAACAGGTTTACTCAAAGGTTTTTTTTTTTTTTTCTTGTTGGATGAGAGAATATTACTTCCCATTAAAATAAAGCTATGTCATGGAGTGAAGTGTAAAAAGTCACATATTTAAAGATAAGATATAAGACTTCAAAGAAATGTCCAGCTTACTTATTCTCTGTCCCAAGCCCAGGGGAAACCCTCTCCAGCAATTCAGTCCTCTGACGTCAGGAAAATAAATAGAATAACTTGTAACTTTGTGTACCATAGTAAAGATAACCAGCACAACGTGAAGGAATTACAGGTATGCCTCATTTTATTGCACTTCCCTTTACTGTGCTTTACAGACACGGCATCTCTTCTCATTGAAGTATAGTTGACTTACAATGTTGTGTTAGTTTCAGATGTACAGCAAAGTGATTCAGTTATACATATATATGTATACATTCTTTTTAAGATTAAGATTCTTTTCCATTATGAGTTATTACAAGATACTAAATACAGTTCTCTGTGCTATACAGTAGAAACTTGTTTATCTATTCCGTATATAGTAATGTATATGTTAACCCCAAACTCCTAATTTATCCCTCCCCTCCCTTTGCCCTTTGGTAACCATACTTTGTTTTCTATGTCTGTGAGTCTATTTCTGGTTTGTAAATAAGTTCATTTGTATCATGTTTTTTTAGATTCCACATATAATTGATATCATATGATGTCTTTCTCTGACTTACTTTACTTAGTCTGATCATCTCCAGGTCCATCCATGTTGCTGCAAATGGCATTATTTCATTCTTTTTAATAGCTAAGTAGTATTCCATTGTGTGTATATATATGTGTGTGTGTGTGTGTATATAGTGTATGTATGTATACACACACACTATTTCTTTATCCAGTCATCTGTTGATGGACATTAGGTTGCTTTCATGTTTTGGCTATTGTAAATAGTGCTGCTGTGAACATTGGGGTGCATGTATCTTTTTGAATTAGAGTTTTCTCTGGATATATTCCCGTAACTATTTTTACAGATACTGCATTTTTTACAAACTGAAGGTTTGTGGCAACCCTGCACAGAGCAGTTCTATTGGCACCATTTTTCCAACACCATTTGATCCTTTTGTCTCTCTCACATTTTGGTGATTCTTGGAATATTTCAAACTTGTTTATTATTATTCTATTTGTTATGGGATGAGTGATCTTTGATGTTACCACTAGGACTGGCTGAAGCCTCAGATGATGGCCAGCATTTTTTATCAATAAAGTATTTTTTAAATTAAGATATGTACATTGGGGATTTTGGAGGAGGACATAATGCTATCACACACTTAACAGACTACAGTATGGTGTAAACATAACTTTTATATGCACTGGGAAACCAAAAAATTCGTGTGACTTTATTACAGTGGTCTGGAACCAAACCTGCAATATCTTGGGTGTGTGCTACCGTATGCTATATTGTGAAACAGCTAACACAGTTTCCAAGAAACTGACAATGAGTTGGACTTCAGCATTTCAGTGCCTGAGGAAGGATTACACATGGAATCGCCAAAGTGTGCAGAAGACATGGCCTCCCTTGCACTGCACTGACAATCAAAGCAACCAAAATGAAAGCATTTCTACAAGATCCAAACCAGCATCAATTAAAACAAACCTGCGTTATGCACCTGCAGAGGATTCAGAACACCAGTGAACAAATGTCTTCAGAGACAAAAAGGTCTAGGCACCATAGTGAGACAGGAGGGGAGGGGGCAGGGCACAACCATTAAAAGGATGACACAGCAATTATTACCAAAATGGTGGAAGATTCAACTCCAACAGAACATGAGCTTCAATATATGCTCACTGAAATATAATAGCATGCTAAATGGTACTCGCACAGGTGCCATGACAGTTTCAAGGCAAACCATAAACGGTCAAAAAGTGGATGATGGCCCAATTCCTGGGAATCCCAGCCTCTTCCCCGAAGTAGTTGGAATAATCCTCTCACTTGTTGGCATGTGACGTTACCAATCCCATAAAAACTAACAACCCCCACACCTCAGATCCGATCTCATTTTTCCTAGCTGACCCCATGCTCTGAGGCCACTGCTCTCCCTTCTGAGAAAGGTGGTCTGCATTCCGCCCTAAGAATGTGTATCTCCTAGGTCTTAGCCTTTCTCTTTCCTTTTGAGACCACCCGCACTGCCTATGTAGTGTGTGCCTACTTTTACTTTAACCAACTCCTCCACCCCTGTGCCTCTTGGCCTCTCTGGCCTTCTGAGATGCCTGCACTGCCTATGGAGTGTGCATCTCTCTGAATTAACCTACTTTCACTCAACGATGACTTGCTCTTTTTTGTTTCCTGCATGAAGCCAAGGACCCTCACTTGGCAGGGTGCATCCCAGAGACTCACCTGGGACCTGGGAGGTGGCTATCCTCTTGCGCCCCATTTTCCTGCATCAATAGGATTGTATTACAACCCCAATGTGGGGGTTGAAGGGTCAACAGCAACTGTATGCTTCAACTTCTATCCATCACATCCACCTGCTAGGTCATTTATATGAGAACAATTTTACACTCCAAGATTTACTCTGTTGGAAGTCTGTGTGAAGCTGTGCTTTCTAACACATCTCTAAATCTCCACATCTCAAGGAAATTTTAACTATTAATTAAGATTACTTTCGCTTTTAACATTTAACTTTGCACGGAAGCTGAGGAGGTGGTGAGACGAAATGAACGAGATTTCCTCCTGGAACCTCATCAAGGATGACTGAGCCCTTCTTCCCCAAGTAGTGTCTTTACTCCCCTCAAGTTAAGAACCCTCCTCCCTCCCCAGGATGTGCTGACCAGTATGTCCCCAGAGTTCGACAAGCCACAACCAAGCTGGACGGAAAGGCGTGCAGGACGGTATTATCCGGCCGGGGCGGGAACGAGGAAATCGGAGTGCTCTACTAACGGCGAACCCTAAATTCCACCCCTCCTTGCCCTGTTAAAGAAAATGTGAGCAAGAAAAGTTCACGCCACGGTTTCCCACGCAACAAGAAGACCTAACTGCTGCCCTCTGCACTAAAAGCCCCCAAACACAGGGCTCCACATTGACCAATTGCACCGCACACCGCCTCCCCGCCTACCGCCCAGACCGGAAGCTCCTCCGTCCCGTCCGTAGACGCCCCGGAAACGAGGGGCTTCCACAGAGGATGTCCCGCCCACTCGCCTCAGAAGGGCCTAGCTCAAGGCTTCCTAGAATATGCCTGCTAGGCCCCAATTTTTTTCCTCCTTGAAATGAGAACTTCGTCATGTGATGTCCTTCCTTCTTCTCCTCTTGGAAATTCCGCGGCATCTTCGAGCCCTGAGCCCCTTCCCACGGGTTCAGGCACTTAAAAGGCAGCCCCGCAGTCTTGACGTCAATTTGAGCGCCGACACAGGAAGGACCCCTTCTCCCTCCGGCTTCCGCGTTGGTCACTGCCCGCTGCGGTGAGCCCGGCTCGCTGAGGAGGCACGTGCGCTGCTGGATGGAGCTGGTGGCTGGTTGCTACGAGCAAGTCCTGTTCGGGTTCGCTGTGCACCCGGAGCCCAAGGCGAGCGGCGACCACGAGGTGAGACCTTGCACGCGGAGGGACCGCCGGGGCTGGGGCAGGCCGACGCCAGGCCTGGTTCCCACACGGCGGAGGTAAACACAGTACCGCAGGTGAACACACTATCTCTTAGGGATTCACTGATGAATGAAACTCAGGGGACTTAAAATATACGTTAGCCTTTTAAAACATGGGGAAGGCGCTTCATAAGACAACGTGATGTCTATCTTTTGTAGTAAATATTCTGACTACAGTGCACGAAGGAAGCTGGCGTTTCTGCATAGAGGCCACTGAGCTGTAGATTATGAATGTAAGGGTCGCTCCTATGAGTTGACAGGTTGAGGTGTTCAGGATTTAATGAAAGAATAGTTACTTCTTTCATTGAGTTCCTGTCCTGGGATTTTACAAAATATTGGAGCTGGATCTGGATAAATCCCTCATTGATAAAGTGATACTATTTCGTTATTGGATCCCTATGGTGGGGCCACTGCTTGCAGTGAAGGTGCAAAGAAGCCAAAGGTGTGGATCTCGCACTGGAGAGCTTCCCAACATGAGGAGAAAATGAGGGAGGCAAATACATGGAGAAAAACTGCAACAAAATATAGATACTTTACTAGGTGTGTGAATTAAAAGGTTAAGTAAATTGACAGTAGTCAAACAGGTAGTAGGACATAGCCGGAACTAGAAATAAGAAGTCCCAACTTCTAGAGCAGAATTATTTTTTTCCCTAAGCAATCCTAGGTATTTCCTATAAACCTATGTCATTGAGTACGTCTTTACGAAGAAGTTGAGCTATCAGTCATGAATTAATCAGAAAATTAGAAGTACATGCCGTGACCAATTGGTTTTATTTATTTTGTTTTTTACTCTGGTTATTAATCTGCCTTTGGCTGAAAGGTAATGTTACCGAACACAAGTCTGTGTGCCTGACACAGTTAGGCCAAAAAATAACTAAACGTTGGAGTTTGGAGCAGAAAAAATTTTATTGCTGGGCCAAGCCAGGAGAATGGGTGGCTCATGCCCCAAAAAACCCCCCAAGCTCCCTGCGGGGTTTCAGCTGAGCATTTTTAAAGGCCAACTGAAGGAGGGGCGTCCCAGGCTATATGATCAGTTGTGCACAATTCTCTGGTTTAAGGTGATCGATCTTTAGGCGCCAAAAAGTGTGGGGCTAAGTGCTCCTGGTCGTCAATAGTTAATTTCTTCCATTTGGTGGTAGTTTTTAGCATCTGGAAAACCTCCAGAAGTGTGCATGAGATTCTGTTATCTGGGTACTTCAGAGAGGAGCTACAAGTAGAGGATATAGGAGAGGGGTCTGTCTGGGGAAGGCCCCACTGGGTCCTGCTTCATTATGTGGCACACTGAATACTTAAAGGTGATGCTGCTGATTGCACTCTTTTTGTAATACTGTTACTTTCCACATCCAGACACCTAGGATCCCTCGCAGCAACCCTCCAAGGCAGATACAGTTATCCTCATTTTACAGATGGGGAACAGGAAGTTTGCTAGGTTAAGTGACTTGCTCAAGGCAACAGAGCTAATAATTGGCAGACCTGGGACCCAGATCCTCAGTTGTCCATGACACCTGAAGCTCTTGACTGTTACCTGGTACTGCTTCTAAACATTGTCAGGCAATAATAGCCCATATAACCAACATTCCTTCTGTGACACACTCAAGCGAAGATCAGTCTTTGATTTATGGCCATAGCAGCTCCTAAGGAGTGTTGTGCCTTTGCTCAGAAGAGGTCCCCTCAATCCTGATTGACAGAAGGACTGTCTGTTGCTGTCGTTTTACCCAAAATCACGTGTCAGTAAAAGTGGTGCTCTGAGACCGACCGCATCCTTGGTCATTCTCTAGGGTTTATGTAGGTACTAATGCAGACCCACTCTCATCCTGTTTATTTTTTGTAAGCCTTGTCATTATACTTATCGCTGTGCGACATCATGTTTGTCTTGTCTTTCCCTTCCCCAGGAATGGTAGCTCCTTTAGAATGAGGACTTTTGTTCCTTTCGTTCACTGCTCTATAATCAACTGCCTAAAATGATGCCAAACACATAGCAGTCATTAAGTATTTGAGTGAATAAATTCAAATCAAAATCTGACCATTTCAGTGAACAAATGGTATGGAAGTCTCACATATAAGTAAATGTATTAAGGAGTTAAGGACTTAGATGGGACCTTAAAGTCCCGGAGTTCCATTTTCCTGATTATTTTTGGAGTCGTGATACTCAGCGTTGCCTTCCCATCCCCTGGCTTTAGCTTCCTTTTTCAGTTCTCAGATGGTCCGTTCGTGTGAATCTACCTGTCACTGCATAACTTTTTCTCCATTTGTGGGATCCGTTGGTAGTTTTCATGGGTCGTGAAACCACTTACCTCTTTCTGGAGAATTATGACATGATGGTGCCTGCCACTGAGTGTTCGTTTTACACTTCAGCAGAAATGGACTCCTGTTGCCGACTTCACTCACCACGCCCACACTGCCTCCTTGTCAGCCGTGGCTGTAAATAGCCGTTTTGTAGTCACTGGGAGCAAAGATGAAACAATTCACATTTATGACATGAAGAAGAAAATAGACCACGGGGCTCTAGTGCATCACAATGGTAAGGAAATTTTCTCCTTTAAGGTAATAATGTTGAGGTATTATTGACTTTACAGTTTGACTTCAGTTGAACAATTCATTGGGTCTGTTACGTAACAGATTCTATGCCAGGACATACACAAATGAAAAACATGTGGTTCTTTGTCCTGAAGTCATCCACAGCCTGTATTGGGAGACCAGGGAGGCACTTAGTGCAGAGGGGGAGGAGGAGGCAGTACATCCTGGTTTGTTCCCCAGATTAGCTCATTATTTTTGTTTGACTTCTGCTCAAACAAGCCTCGCCAGCCATCTCAGTTTATGATTATGGGGGTGTAAAGCGAGAAAGAAAGGTAATTGGTTCAAATCTATATCTACAGCTAGAGAAACTCTGCTGAAAATATTTGCATAGACTTGAAACTGTATGTCCTTATATGAAAAAAATTAATTTCTTCACAGAAGACTTAAAGGAATATTTCAGTAATTATTAAGACATTGGCTGTTTTACTTCCTGCAGCATAGCCTTCAAATGAGAAATGGAGTTTGTACTCAAAGATGAATATATGAGTTTTGCCTCTCTTGGTTCTTCCACAGGCACAATAACTTGCTTGAAATTCTATGGCAACAGGCACTTAATCAGCGGGGCAGAGGACGGACTCATTTGTGTCTGGGATGCAAAGAAGTGGGAGTGTCTGAAGTCCATCAAAGCTCACAAGTGAGTCCAGCCTTCCCCACTGGTGGTCGCCAGGTGCCAGTGGAGCTGAGGGCTAACTGTCGGTTTCCTTTTAGAGGACATGTGACCTCCCTTTCCATTCACCCATCTGGCAAGTTGGCCCTGTCTGTGGGAACAGATAAGACATTGAGGTAAGTTATTAAGGCCCAAGAGCACCTTCATCAACTTGTGGTCTCTGTTTTCCAAGTACAGCAAGAACCCACCACTGGGGTGTCTTTTACCACAGAAACTAGGTACCATTTCTGTATCACCTCACATTGTCAGCATTTGAAGAGATTTTAACACAAGGGAAAGGTTGAAAGCTAGTGAACCTTTTCATAATGGAAAGAAAAAGAATGACAAACTCTAACCTCAGACACTCACATTACATTGCGGCCGTAAGCCTGGATGTAGAGTGTGGTCCTAAAAAAAGTGTTTTAGGAGTGAAACCTCTTGAAAACATAATGGATTCAGCTTAGGAAACGGCTGTGGGAACAGAGGGACTTTTATCCTTGCTTGATAGTAAGGATTTCGGGTGTTGCCATAAGAAAGAAGGCAGTTCTTCTAAGTGGCCAAGTAGTACATTTTCACAAGTCTTCGTTAAGCTCACCGCTACACCTAGTCAGTGATTGTGCCGTCAATGAGCTTCCTGTTTTGCAGAACATGGAATCTTGTGGAAGGAAGATCAGCGTTCATAAAAAACATAAAACAAAGTGAGTGTTTTTGTTTGGAATGTTCTTGATAACCTCATGGAATGTTAGTGTTTACACATGTGTTCTTGTGCACATGCATGTGTCTGTTTATCCCCTGCACAGTGGTGGTGCCCCTCGGAGAGCAAATACTTTCTTTTCCTACTTTAGATTAAGATCCCCGTATGACCTTAATGATTCTTTGAACTAGTTCATTGCCTAAAATTTAACTCACAAAATACCATGAGTTTGTTGTGGAGTTAAATGGGATAATGGCTATGAAATGCACAGTGTAAATATTTGCTATTTTTATTATTAACCTGATCAATTTATTTTTTATTTATGAAATACAGCAGCTTTGTTCTTCTGACTTACAGATGCTCACATAGTAGAGTGGTCCCCAAGAGGAGAGAGATACGTAGTTGTCATACTGAACAAAATAGACGTCTATCAGCTTGACACTGCATCTGTTAGTGGCACCATCACAAATGGAAAGAGAATATCTTCTGTCACGTTCCTTTCAGTAAGTGATCAGAAATCAGCGAGGGGAGTTAGTGTGTGTGGTGACGGCTGGGATTGTAGGTGACATTCTGGGTGTTACTCTTTTTCCTTCCCAGGAGTCTGTCCTTGCCGTGGCTGGAGATGAAGAAGTTGTAAGGTTTTTTGACTGTGATTCACTAGTGTGCCTCTCTGAATTTAAAGCTCATGAAAACAGGTACTTTTTTTCTACTAATCTGTGTGTGTGTGTGTTGTGTGTGTGTGTGTAGAGTCTCAATAAGTGTTATAAATAG